TCAAAAATAACATGTTATACCTTATATTTAGAGCTGTCAAAATAGATAACAACTTGTGAGTCAATCTAATCCACCACAGGTTCGAGTTGTGTTGGACTTAAAATTTTTGTAAATTTCAGTATTGTTGCAAATTCAATTTGACCCACTAAAAACCCGACTCACTCGAGTTAAACTTGTGGTGAACCGGACAGGTTCACGTGCTCACTCACACAAAAAAAAATATATATATAACTTACAACCCACTTATATATATAAAAAAAAAAGTTAAGAACCCACAACCCACTCACATTTTTTTAAACTCGTAACTCACTTATTCATTCAACCAAATGTCACACTGAGGATTATTTATTGGGTTAGAGATTTATTTTTGTGGGAGAAAAAAAAAAGAAATTAGAAAAAAAAAGAAATTAGAAAAAAAAATAGATTATATGATTGGACATTAGAAATTATTTTCTAAAAATAGATTTGGTTAGATAGATATTTAAAAATAATTTAAAAAATAGATGTTTTTTTTTTAAAAAAATATGTTTGAATATTTAATTTCTTTTTTAATTTTTTTAAAATTAAATAAATTAATCTATTTAACTCACTAATCCATCATGGATTAATTAGATCTTACCGACTGATCTGTTTTCATAACACTACTTATATTCTAACCATAAAAAAATTCCTAACAAAGACTTAAAAAATATAAGGCTTTTTGTTTTTGTACAGAAATGTAAACTTTATCAAGTCAATTGCTAAGTGGACAAGTGTCATGCCTTATAGGCACTATTTTGTCCAATCATTTTATAACTTGATTCCATAACTATCATATGAAAATGAAATTATTCGGATGCTGAGGCCGACCCGTGCCTTGCAACACTGGAATATTATATATATAATTTTTTTTCTTCTATATATAATTTAAATATAATTATATTGACAAAATGTTGTTAAGACTATTTAAGAGTATTTTTAAACATTTGTTTTTAAAAAATGGGTTTAAAGATTTTCTTGATTTATCATTTTTTAAAATTTTTATTATTTATTTTTAGTTTTATATTAAAATTTCAATATTTTCATGTTTAGAGATCATAATTTTCATTAATCATAACTTTCAACAAAATATATATATATATATATATATATTATTTTAGAATGAGTAAAATTAGTTTGGTTATAAATGATTTCTTTGAAATATTTATATATATTATTTGAGAATTATTTTTTTTACTGTGATAAACAAGTAAAAAAAGTAACATGATTTTTACTTTAGTAAAAAAGAAATTAAGTTGAGAATGTTAAATTTTTACCTTTGTATGATAACACATTCACAAGAAATTTATGTACAAAATATTATTAGAAAATAAAGAATGAAATAAAATATGAGAAACTAAGAAAATGTTTGATACACAATTTTTTATATCGGTAAATTATGATTTTTAATAATGATTAAAATTTGTTTTTATTGGCTGTAAATAATTTTGGTAAAATTTATAAATGTTAAAAAAATTAAAGATTTTTATCATATTAAATTAATAAATAAAAATTAATGTGATATTTTTATCATAATATTTATAAAAAAAACTTATAGATGTTTGATTCTTACGTTCTCATAGGAACGACTTTGTGAAAAATTTTGTAAAAAATATTATTATAAAAATTACATTTTAAAAATGTTATTGTTTTAATAACAAAATTAAATATGAAAGATTAACATCATTAACTTTAGATTTCTAGAAAAATAAAAAAATAAATTTGTGTACCAATCACCTAAATCCTAAATCTCCTAACGTTTTTATACAATTAATTTAATATATATAAAAATATTAAACATAAAAAAATTACATAATCATAAAAAATATATTATAATGATGAATGATTAATTTTTAATTCATAAACGATGATGATGAATTGATGATGTATAACTATATTTTTTTTTTACTTTTATTTATGGAAGTAATTTGTATTATTTATTATTCATTAAAAGAATCAAGACTAAAAATATTATTTTTTAATTTATAAATAATATTATTTATTTAAAAGTCATTACTTATTTATAAACAATTTACTCTGGTATGTCATTATATTTTAACGAGAGTTACTAATAAATATTATTACTTATTATACAACACAAACAATTTTTATTAGAGATGTTCTAATTTACTTTAACGTCCTTAAACTAATTAAATTATGTATCTTAATATAAAAAGGATAATATAATACTTAATTTTTTAAAAAATAATGTAATTTACTCTTAATAAAATAATAAATTAAAAAATGCTAAATAATTAAGCATGCGTGATTGATTGCATTACGCATATTAGCATAACAAACATGTTGGTTCGTAGATAGCTATGATTAAACATATCTTAACTTGAGTTTTTTAAAAAGAAAAAACTCCACACCTTATCTTCATCCCTCCATCCAAGCCTTGCCTTCTTGTAATTGTCTATCAACTATCAACTCATTAACCATTTGATATATTATGACAAAGGACTTTTTTTTTTTTGGAAGATAAAATATGTTTTTAAATCTTATTAATATTTAATTTTTTTTCCTTCATTTTTTCTCTTCATAAATTTTGTACTTATCTATCCATGTTAAAGACTTTTTTATTTTATTCTTTTTTAGAAGTCCAAGGATGTATTGATTTTAATTTTAATTATTAAAATGATAAATAAGAGATGATAGTATAATAATTATCAAATACGGTGAAAATATTTAAATTAAATATTATTATTTATTTTATATTTAATAGTGTGCAGATGGATAAAAAAACTTTATTTTTTTAAATTGAAAGTTAGAAAAATTCATTAAAAATGTAATGTAAAATATGTGATGAATAGATGGTATGAGAGCTGAGTGTTTACTCTTCAGTTTATGCCACAAATGGTCTTTTGATTACTTTAACGATAAGATATGGATTTTGGTTTAGTTTGACGCGACTGATGTGACTCTCTAATCTCAACGTGAAAATGCCCTTTAAATGGTCGGAAAAGTTGTCATAAAAGGAAAGAAAATGAGCACAACTTCTTTGGGGACCATTATTATAGGTTTAAAAGTATTGGAGATCTACGTGTAAATTAGACACAATTTTCTGAATATTACTAACCTAACTTTTATAAAACATTATATAAGTTGTAATTTTATTTTTTTAAATATATTTTAAATTGTAACTTTTTTCCCCTTCAAAAAGATAAAGAGAGTTTTTAAAAATATATTTAAGGCACAATTTATCGAAACATCTCTTTTAAATAAATAAATAAGTGTAGTTCAATATTTTCGACAAAGAACATGTTCCAACTTCTGTTGTTGAAAATTATTTAACATTTGCATAAGCAATTAGAACTTAGAAGGTTGCCTTTACTCGCTGAGTTCCATTCTCATCTAGTAGGTTTTGGATATGCATGTGAAATAGTGTGTTTTAAAGGATAAGTTGTAATTATATATAATAATCAATTAAAACAGTGACCAAATAGTAATATTTATTTAGATTATGATAATAATATTTAATTTTTCTAAAATAAGCAAACACATAAAGTAAAAAATTATCCACCGTTAAACACTTAAATGTCCTTTGTCACACTTCCTTATCATTTTCTTTTTCCCTTCGTATTGTTTTGATAAGTACTTGGCCCCCACCACTTGCCCATGCAAATTCCTTTCGTAATTATATGATGGATAATTACTTATTTACTTATTTTATTAATATTGTCGGTATATGATTAATTAATTTAAAATTAATACATACAACTTACTGTAAATAAAATAATACAAAATTCATGACCCGTTGCATTAATTAACTGTTGTACTTCCTAAACAAATCCATTTTATTAATTGCAATAATAAGATGAATCATTGATGTGTCTTCCTTTGGATCATGCATGTAACCATGATTTATCTCAATGTAAAATCACACTACAATTTATCTTTTAAAATTATGCATACGAGGAGGCAATTCTTATAACTATATATTTATTTTGTGTGATTGGACTGTTTGTGATGAACTGAGAAATTTAGTGGGACACTCTAGTAATGAAAAATTGAGATAATTTATATAAAATTTTAAATTGTTTAATTGTCTTCGTTATAGAAGAAAAAGAAAATAATATCTACACAATTGTTTGTTTTCCCTGTAAATGTTGGATCTGAGCCTTCATGTCATCTGGAATATTACCAAAATAACCTTGTGCAATTGTCTTAACCACCCTAGTAGAGTTCATATGATCTGGGCCTCATAAAACCCATTCTCCAAGCCCAACATAAGCCTTCATATGCAAGCCCAAATCTTTGCTACATAAACAGTAGTTGTTTCTCATCAGACCCATAACTCTTCTTCCCACACATGGACACTTTATGAACTATGGATTTTTTCAGTATCCACGACTCCATTTTTGTTATTGCTTAGCATTCAGCGTTTATTTTTTGTAACTCAGGTATTTCCAATAAAAAATTAGAGACTAATTTCTTAAGTTATTTAGATTATTTTTTACATCTTTTAATAAATGTTCTTTGGTATACGCAAATTCAAAAGTTAAACTCCTTAACTTATATTTAAACGACATTATGTTTTTATATCGATCAATTTATTTTGAAAAGATATATAAAAAAAAAAATTAGAGGAAAAAACTTATCATCGACAGTAACCATGTCCATCTTACTTCTAATTAGTCAAAAACTCATTATAATGCTCTAAACAATAATAATTTTAAAAGAAAAAACAAACTTATTATCTTATTTTTATAATTATATTATTAAACATTGACTTTGTCAATGATTAATCTCATAACCTGACTCTCTTTGATAGAATTTCTCCTTCTAATCACGATTCTTTTATTTTAAAAGATTTAAATAAGAAACTTTATTTAAAGATATACTACTATAATTCTATATATATATATATATATAATTAGATTAAATGATACTACTATGCATTCAAACTTAAGGCAAGCAATTATGAAGAGAATGAGGTTGGCCAATGTGGCAATTCCATACATTATGATTATAGATAGATATGCATGAAGCTTAACCAGGATTTGATTAATTTGAATGCATAAAACATAAGGACTTGTTTGTAAGAAGCAGAAGCCACAAACACATTAACAGTTCATATTCGATGAATAAATATTTGTTGATCTGATATATGAAAATGGTTTCATGGAGGTAATTAACAACATTAGCACATAATTAAGCAAGTGGTATTATACATTATTAATTATGAAGAAAATCAAATTGGACGAGAAGCCTTACAGACTTGTAAAGTTCACCCTTGCGATTACGCAAACGAACTGCACGAATTCCTGGCCTTAGCTGAGAGACAGGTAAACATGTTTGTCCACCAAAATCATGATTCCCGGAATAGTCACGCTCCACAACTTTTATGTATAAAAGGGCCAATTCTGGAACAGTCAATGGAAAGATGAAGGCCTCGTTCCATACTGGTATCCAATCATCTTCAATTGTTCTAGTGTGTTTGCTACCCTTATCAGCTGGAACACCATGAATACTAACCTGCACGTATATCATCATCATGCAAAATAACATCATACTTTTTTTTTTGGTTGTCTTTTAGTGAAAAGGTAGAATTATTTCGTGGTGTCTTCCTTTTAATATACAACTTAAATAACATAATGTAGGCCAGACAAAAGCAATACTGAAGTGATTAAAATTATAGTATTTATGTTATATATCACAGTAAAAACCCTATTAAAATTCTAGCTTTTCACTGAAGAACCAAAAAAAATGACGACTATCAAAAAAGCTAGTAGAAAACTAGCTTTTCATTAGTAAAAATACTGACAGGTGTTTTAAATTGTTAACCATACCAGTAAATAGTTTTAAAACAATACCAATTTGAAACATAACTTTTCAAAGGGATCCAATTCGGTCTATAAGTCACTATTTCAATTAGTTTCATATTTGACTAAATATCTTAAGTACACATTTGCATGACTAAATATAATTGAAGTTTTATAGATTCAAAAATAATCGTTTAAGTTATTTTAATATTATTTTAAAATTTAAATTAGAGTCTAATTTACTCAATTCTTGAAATTATTTTATAGTGGAGAATCATAAAAGGGATCCAATTCGGTCTATAAGTCACTATTTCAATTAGTTTCATATTTGACTAAATATCTTAAGTACACATTTGCATGACTAAATATAATTGAAGTTTTATAGATTCAAAAATAATCGTTTAAGTTATTTTAATATTATTTTAAAATTTAAATTAGAGTCTAATTTACTCAATTCTTGAAATTATTTTATAGTGGAGAATCATATTTTATTTATTTATATATATATATATATATATATATATATTATTTTATCCATATTATTAGTCGAAATATGAGTTCCAACTAAAATAATATTTTGTAAATGAAGATACAAAAGAATGCTATCTTAAAGTAGAAAAAGTTTATATCTTAAACATTGATGGGTCTCATGCTACAATTATTTTGCTATCTCAAACAACACTAGAACGAAAATTGGAACCTTAGTTGTTTAGGTTGAAGGAGAGCAACTCAGAAGAGTAGGGATCAACTATATATTTTGCAAAAGTTATAATCTAAACTCAGTAATGTTTGCTTGTAAGTTTTATTCGTGGGTTTAGATGGTAGCTCATGTGATAGAAATAGTGTGCAACTGAGAGCTTTCTACACCAGGCTAAGAATTTGGGGCTCCATCACATCATCATAATGTAATGATGATATCATTTTTAAAGTAAGGCAAGGGAGGAAGGATACGAAAATGTCATGAAAAAATAACATTATTAAACCAATAAATTATTGATTTGAGTAGAATCAAGTTAAAACTTCTTAATTAAGATATTATATTTGAATTTTGTAGACAGGAAAAATGTGATTAAAAAGAAATATTTCTTTAAATATGGTCCATCTAAATTCACATTAAAGCTTAATCATTAACAAAATTAATAAATATTTTGTATTACCTGTACTTGGAAGTCAGGAGGAGAATAAAAATCGAAATGTGTATGGCGGAAATCAAAACGCCAACCATCACCCATGTATACCAAAACCTGTTTTGTCATCATATTTAAATTAGATGAGGCTCAATTGTTTTATGTGTGTGTATATATATATATTATAAAATTATTTTTAAAAAAAATAAATATGAATAGATTTGCACCTGAAGAGTTTTCTGGATTGTTCGACTTGCTCTTGGATCAAAAACCTCATTGTTGGGACCAACATTCAACAATATGTCTGGTTTCTTAACGTAACCACAACCACCATTGGCTCTGAACATTCCTTCCATCACACTAAGAAAGTGCCCTCTTCCCTTTAAGGAAAACAAATTGCAAGTGAACACAAAACTCTATGATTCCTATTCACAATTCTAAATAATGCATTGCAAGAAATAATATATGAATCTGCATAGATACAACTAAACTTAAAAATAATTTTAAAAATATTTCTTTATTAAAAAATATCTTTTATTTTTAGTGAAAAAATTCTCGAAAACTCTTTTACCTTATATTTAAACAGACTCAATAACAATATAGACAAGATTTTCATGCGGATTTGGCATGTTATTATGGGATATTAAAATGTTGAGTTAGTAAGTTTCATTCTTATGCTTCACCTCATACTACATAAGTACATAGGGAACAAATAAATAACACGATTCACTAGTTTGGAGGTGACTCATGCAGGTTCTTTTCATAAACATTCTTTAAAGCACATATTTTGCATGTTTGAAGACTAACCTGCATATTAAATGCTACCATTTGAGCTCCGTGCATCCATCCAATCATGGGATCGTAATTAGACGAGTTCAGTCGTGTACCCTTTGGGTATATTCTAAGCAAATTTCTTTGGGTGAATCTATATACGATGGAACAAAATATATCAACCATTGTAACGTGTGAATGGATAGAAAATATAAATTGAGTAATTTATTTATTTGAAAATTTTTAAATATTTTGAAGTGAAATGTTTGGATGAACAATTTATAAAGAATTTGAAATTCAAACATTTGTAAAAAGAAATTAAGTAATAGAATTTTAAATTCTCTAGAAAAAAGTAAGAATTTGAAATTTTTCATTTTTTTTTTCTTATTTCGCTTATATATTTTATCATATATCTTATCTTTTCATGTTTTTAATTATTGAATATTTAAAAGTATTTTTAAAATTATTAAATATTATATAATATTAATTTTTAAAATGGTTAAATATTTAAAATTTTGTTAATATTTATTTTTATAAAATTTAATTTAAAAATCTCAATATATAAATATATTTTTAAAATTAATTTTATCATAGTAAAATCAAATTATCATATCCAAACTAACAATTTAAAATTTTAAAAATTTGAATTAACTTATCCAAACAAAATATTTTAAGAATGATAGCAATTAAAATCAAAACAATTTAAATATCAAAAATTTTAAATTCCTTAAATTTCTAAAATTTCTCATTCAAATACACCTAGGGTTTATTTGTTTAAACATTTTCTCTTATAAAACACTTCTTTTTTAATAAAATAAACACTTTTTTTTTCTTTCTTTTTTATGTGTTTATCTATTTTTTTTCTTCTAAAATAAGCAGTTTTCTATTTTACTTTTTTATAAAATAAAAAAAATAACTTCTATTTATTTTTTTAAAATTTTTTTTTTCAAAAACACTTGTTTATAAACACTTCTTTTAAGTTTAAACAAACAGACTCTTAGTCTCTTAAAATTAATTTCTCTATTAATTAAAGACTTAATTGTATTTTTTTGTCACACATATTTTACAATTTCGTCACCCAACTTTTAAAATTTTACATATTTTATCACCTTATTCAATTATTGTATGATGTCACTAGTTAACTATTAAAATAAAATGTTGACATGACATATTAATTGTTTGCGTAAATTATTAATGTAACATATAAACGATAACATAACATTATGTGTCACATTTGCAATCAACGTGACATGTCAATAATAATATTATATTAAATAATTAACTAATGAAATGACAATATGTGCAACTGTGAAATTTTTTTTTGAAATCATGAAATATAAGTTGACAAAAATTACAATAAGCTATAAATTAAATCATCATATCATTAGTCTTTTAAAGATTTTGCTATTAAACTAACCCTTCTCACCTGACAATTTGAGTTCCATAATTTTTGGCGATATCTTCAAGCTCTTGCTCACTCAAGCTAAGACGCCTAACTTGTTCATGATCAATCAACCAGTGTTTTAACTTACCTTTTGGCTTCCCAGCACGAATGGAAATCAAATTCCTGTATTCAAGAGTATCATCATCTGAATCTTGATCATCTGAATCATCCTGATGAGGACAAAATGGCAACAGAGGGAAGCTGATTACAAAGCTTACAATAAGCACATGTTTGATTCAAGTTTTTTTTTTTTTTTTTTTAAATATATATAATCACTTAATAGATGCAAATAATTAATTTTTTCTCCACAAAAAATTAAACTGCACTAAGTTGACCAAGAGGATTTAACTCAGTTAGCTGAATAGTGTGCGCGTTAGGGATAAAATAAAATAAAGTGCACTACTTTAACGTAACCAAAATTATGTTCAAATTATTTTCACCTTGTTATTGTCCTCAAGCCTTTGTGCTTCTTCCTCTGGCGTCATTTCACGAGACTCTGGCGGTTTAGTTGAAATCAAAATTTTTCCCTTCAATTCTTCTGGAGAAGGGAATTCGCTCATTAGCTGTGAATATTCAGGGCGAAATAGCATGTCTCCAAATATGTCATCGAGCATCTGCATGTATTCAAATTTATTTATTTATTTAATTTCCACTAAGAAATTGTATTAGATTTCAAACCATGATAGTGATCTTAAGTCTAAACTATGTTATACGAACCTTGGCCACTTTGTCTTGTAGAGATCTTGTTATATGGTCTTCAAAAGTTATAATAACAGGATACGGAGAGGCAACAAATGCGTAGTCCTTAATGGCATTCAGACAAGCTTTGAGTTTCACTGAGGAAGTCAGAGTCCTACAGTTCTAAAGAAAGTCAATTAGTTTCCGATATGCCTACGTTGAAAGTTGCAATGCACGTGAAACCAAGTCTAGATACATATACTGGTAAGACCAAAGCATTTGGTTTAGTTAATCTAATTAAAGTGAGAAATTTGATTATTAGTATATTGGATTCGTTTCATCGTCTTACTAGGGTAGGTAACCCATCTAATCAAGGTTTATTCATTTGGTAAAGTCATCACCTTTCTAGGTTGGTTCATCTGGTTACAACATTTCATTAGGTTCCATCATTTGATCAAGTTACTCAGTTTAACTAGGTTATATCATTTGATCAGGTTGTACTGTTTCACCTTAGATCCTTTGATTAGGTTGTATCATCTTACTAGCTTGGTTTGTTTAACCAAATTGCGTAATCTGATTAGGTTATTATTATGTCCAATAAATAAACCTCCCATTGTTTTCAACACGCTTGACTTCAAATTGGCTAAATAAGTCTTTTTCCTTCTATCTTGTTTGTAACAACATCAATGCTAAAATTTCCTCCTGGTGTTGATTTATTCACAATAACAGCTATGGTATCTTTACTCTTTAGTAAAGAACTAAGGAGTAGGAAAATCTTGAACTCATCATTAATCTTTATTTCTACATCTGTTCGTTCATAAGACCTAAAGGTATTCAAGTGCTTGGTTATGTTTTGATTGTTTAAACTCCACTTAATCAATTTATTATTTGAAAACTCTCTTAGTAAAATAATCTAAAAATATACTTAAATCATTAATTTTCGTTTCCACATTTTTATCTATAGAGTAAAGAGTTCCTTACAACCTGGAATATGAAGAATCCTTTTTTATTTATTTATTTATTTTATCTCCACAGCTTTTTAATCTTTCATCGGGTATCTTCACGTGAGATCTAAATAGTTTTTTTGAGAATGATAACTATTAGATTTGAATATCTAACACTGCATAAATTGTCTTCCATCAACTTACATGTTACTTTGTTATACTAAAAAATTAAAGGATCTCTCCACCTAATATGCTACTGAAAATTATATAAATCCATACCCTCCATGATGAACTAGCACATCATCGCCTCTGGAATTTGGCCATAAATCTAGCTCAATTACTCTAACTCCTTTCTTCAATGCCTTTATTATCGCGGAAGTACTGCTAGCACTGCTAACTTGATTTCCAGTTAAGTAGGAGTTGTGGCCTGTGTATAAGAAATAATGAGCCAAGGGATAAGTCATGTCATGGTGCACCTGGACATCCAAAACACACCAAAGTATGAGAAAACTTCGTAAGATATATAATTAGAAGACTAATTCACTTTTCTAGTAATTATAATAAGTATTAAACTTACATGCAGTAACTTACATATTGTTTTCTAATCAGAATGAAGCTTTATATCAGTAATACACATTGACTTTTAATGGAATAGTTTATTATGCATATTATTGAAGTTGAATATTAATTCTAATTAGAGAATAATACCAACAATACGAATGATAATAAGTTTTGCTCTTATAATAAACTCTTCAAACTATTCAGCTTTTTCTAGTAATGTACCAAATTTACCTCATCAAGGGGACCATTAATGTCACTTAAGAGATAACGGAAGAAGGCATCAACATGAAGGCCTTTCCTCTGAAATATGTTGAGATGCTTGAGATTGTCAAAAATGGTTTGAGCATGTTTCTTGGTGGCATCACCTTCTTCTTCTTCTCCTTGAAATTCAACCAAGAAATCGCACAGGTCATGCATGCTCATGACGCCATTCTCTGAATACTTACCAAAAATAGTGTTGATTTCCTCAGGAGGTTCAGCCACGTTGAGCCTAAACATTCTCCTGAAACAAAAACACACTTTGAAGTGCTGTTTAGACATTTTATTGAGAAAGGGGTCCCTAGTTGTGGTTGCCATTATTGTGTTGGGTAATGTCAATTAAGAGGGAGACACATAAAAAAGAAAGGTGTCAGCCTTTGGAAACGACCAGGAATTGCTTGGAGTCTAAGTGAGAATTTATACTCATTCAATGTTCATAAGGAAGAAGTACAAAACACTGAAAGTAGATTGTTTAGTTTTTGTTAACTTTTTCTCTGTAACGAAGAAAGAGATTGCTTTATTTTATGCTTTGTGATTTCTTTTATGATACATTTCAGTGATGAATATCTCCAGGTAATTGATCTTATCAAGAACATTGAATAATCAAACTAAACGTTAGGAATATTCAATGAGATGTGTGGGTAAAGCTACGTATACGTAGAAAGAACGACAAGATCATTGAGGAAGAAATACTTCAATTTTGTTTAAGGCCTTATAGCTAGATGCAGTTTCTATTGCTTTAATACAGTGAGAACATTATACATGTTAATTGAAATACTATTGCTTAATTAAATGACCATACTACAGGTGAAACTATTCCTCTACATAATCCGTTAAGCTCAAAAACAAAATTTCCTTCAAAAAATATATCTGGATTTTCACCATAGAAGATGAAGGTGACAAAACAATGAAAATAAGTTGCATAATACAAACGTTTCGCAGCAGGTTATCAATAATAGATTGGATTCAATAGGAGGTACAAATGCTCTGTTAGATTTAACAGTTCACCTTAGGGCTTGCAAGTAGTTTGTTTTGCGTGTCTTAATTTAATGGATTAAACAGGTAACCATGTTGCTTGAATAAGGTTTATCTGTCATCGTGAAATAAAGAACAAGGTGAGATGGAAGCCCTCTTTTCCATTATTTATACCGAAAGGCGCTTTGAAGATTAGCATATTGTTTGTTGCTTGGGTGGAAAAGCCAAGATTCATCACTAACATTATTTATAATTATAATTTTCTTTAGAAAATAAGAAATAAAATAAAACAAAGTACGTATTTTAATAATTAAAATGTGTTCGATTGCATATCTACTTAGCCTTCAACGTGGATCCATCTTGAAGCTACTCAATAGTTTTCCCGTCCATATAGGTTTAAACAAAGCTCTAAACATGCTGAAAATGAATTGATAAGCGCTTACTCGTACGCATATTAATTTCCTTCCATGAAAGGGTGAAGTATGCTTTCATATATCAGACATGTTATATGTAAGGCATAAAGAAAAATAGAAAACTCGAAATTCTTTGGTCAAGTCATACCAAATTTATTGACAATCATCTCCAAATAAATTTTTGTTAGGATATAAATAAGGTCTTACATTAATAAAATAAAAAAATAATAATAATAGTTTATAAAATATACACATATTCTAGTGATTGAAAATTTTTTCGAGTGATAATTAAAAATAAAATCGTGAGAGTTTAGATCTAAAGTGAACAATATCTCATCATTATAAAATTGTGTGTAAATAAACTGATAAAAATAACAAAACATAACTCTCTCAATGAGAGATTTGGTCCCAAGAAAAATAATAATTTATAAAACATACACATACTCTAGTGATTGAGAGACTTTTTATTTGATAGCCAAAAACAAAATCGTGAAGATCAATGATTGAGAGACCTTTTATTTGAGAAAAATAATAATTTATAAAACATACACATACTCTAGTGATTGAGAGATTATTTGATAGCCAAAATAAAAAGCGTGAGGGCTAGTGATTGAGAGACATTTTATTTGATAGTCAAAAGTAAAATCGTGAGAGCTACTCCAATAGTTAAGAGGCCTTTTATTTGACAATCAAAAACAAAATCATGAGAATTTTAAGCCCAAAACAGGAAATATCTCACCATTGTAAAATAACCAGACATAACTCTCCTTTTAATATAAATATATTCTCTCAAACAAATTGACAAAATAATCCTAACAGTAGTGTCATAGCCACAAGCTGAATTCGGTAACACCTAGTAACACCCAATAAGTTCGCTAAATGAGAGGTTTGATCTCTTTTTTAAAGGGAGGATTGTTAAGATACAAATAAGGTCTCACATTGTTAAAACAAAAGAAGAAATAACAGTTTATAAAACATACACATATTCCAATGGTTGAGAGACTTTTTGGATAATAACTAAAAGCAAAATCATCATAACTTAAATCCAAAACAAACAATATCTTATCATTGTGAATTATGTGTAAAATAATCCAATAAAAAAAAAAACAAATAATAACAAAGTTATAAACCTCCTCTTGATAAAACATATACACATACTCTAATAATTAAAAGACTTTTTAAGTTATAATCAAAAACAAAATTATGAGAATTTAAACCCAAACCATTAAAAAATTGTGTGTAAAATAATTCAATAAAAAAAACCAAATAATAATAAAGTTATAACCTTCTTTTTAATATAAATATCCCCTTAAATAAATACTAATATTATAACCCTAACAATTATTTCACGTCTAACATGAACATAAAAGCAAGCTATTCTCAATTCTCAGCCCAAATTACAACAAAGCATAAAGTAGATGTGCAATAAAAAATTCATTATAAGAACTATTAAAAAGTTTGAAAGGGCATTTGATTACCAATGCCAAGCAATTTCAGTACAAATGATACATGTATGCACAAAAAGATAGACAAAGCTATCTCTAACTACTAAAAAAAAAACTTTCATGGATCGTTCATTTTAAGAACTTTCATGGCCAAAGAGTGGGATTTCAACCTCCAACACACGTACCAGAAAGGCAATCAGTGAGCAGACATATTAACCAAACTTGAGTTAGTGACAATCGACCTCTGATATATATTAACCAAGCTTGGATTGTTCATTATAAGAACTTTCATGGCCAAAGAGTGGGATTTCAACCTCCAACACACGTACCAGAAAGGCAATCAGTGTGCAGACATATTAACCAAACTTGGAGTTAGTGACAATCGACCTCTGATATATCTGGATGAACCTGCAGCATGCATAACTCCTCTGCTACTTGCTGACGCAACAAGAACTAGTTTTGTTAGGAATTAACACTATTTTCCTTGTTGTCCTGTCTTTTTTTTTTTTTTTTTTTTTTTTTTTTTTTTTTTTTTTTTTTTTTTTTTTTCTGTTTTTGCTCTTGTAACCAAAAAAAGAAACCTTAAAAAAACTAATTTAAAATTTTAATTTTTAACAGTAAGTATTTTCAGAACCAACTTAGCAAAACCAAAATATGAATGCCGATATGTTCGTTTTTTAAAATCACTCGTGCTGCTGCATTACCTATCATATTAAAAATCCCAAAGCTCAGTAAACATGAGAATTCTATTGTGCCCAAAGTTGTCTTTCTCCGTCTCCCATTCCAAATGCCATGCTGAAAACAAGTCAACTAAACATTTTTTTCTTCATCACATTAAATGTTCAGTGGAATACCAAATCCACAGAAATAGCATTCCCGGAGACATATTTTCACGTAATTCCTATGAAACCTTCACTAGCATAGTGCTTAATTAGAATTGAATCATCTGCAACCTATATCTACGTTATCACAATTCCAGCGACAGTTCATAGCAATAGTAACTCCCATTTGCCTTGTCTGTTAAAATCCACGCCTACCAAGTCACCATCATTCCCTAGTCCACGTCAACTTGCATGTTATAAATACGATGTTCACTACATCCATAGTCTGTAATTTTGAATATAAATTTTATTGATGTTTGAAACAGATTAACAACTCAAGTTTAGGAAAAAGACCACTTCCTTTCCATGAATTCTAGATTCACCTTCCTGCAGAAGTGAGTCCTTAGTTACTCAAAATATGCACCATTAGAGAAAAACACGTCATTTTAATTGCTAATGTTTTCCAGGAAATAGTTAAAAAAATGTTCCTACTATATCACATTACTAAGTTAATTTGGTCATCATCCTTTTGCTAGACAAACAAAAAAGTAAATAAAATACAAACAGAGGAAAATGTGATATGGGACTGTTAATGACCTAGTAATAAATTCCTAAACAGATGAAAGATTTTGAAAACAAAACTGGACAATATAAATTCATAACATCAGAGTGGTCGTGTTTTCTAGGGGTGGGTAAAATGAAATGAACTGAACTTATAAAAACTATACTAAATTTAAGAGTAGTTCTCATGAACTGAACTAAACTGAATATTAGTTCAGATGAACTGAACTGAACTATACTATAAAAACTTGAACTGAACTGCAATTTAAACTGCACTGAACTGTTATGTATTTTGAATTGAATAATTTTGACTCATTGATTTATCAAAATAGGAAACATTTGCCAACTTTACTTTATTTTTCATTTTATTTAAATTTTTCAAAGGACAAAAATATAAAATTAAGTCAAACAAACTCAGTGAATTTTAAGCCTAAAAATAAATAGTCTAACATAACTCAATTGATCCGTTAGGTTCGACAAAATTGATACAATTTTTTTTCAGATCACTTTTTTTTTTCCAAAGTTTTAGTCATTAAACTATCGAGTTAATCCATTAAGATATAACATATTAGACACATTTAATTTTTATCCTTTTATAAAAATAGTTTAATTTTTATAATTCAGTTTGGTTTTATAGTTCAGTACAATTTAACTTTCCAACAGTTCAGTGTTTTTTTAAACAGTTCAGTTCAATTTTTTTACAAACAGATCAGTTTTTTATAGTACATTCAGTTCATCACCAGTTCAGTTCAGTTCAGTTTTTTTTGCCTACCCCTAGCCTGTTTCCAGTAAAGACATGACAACATCTCCTAGATGTGGGGGATGGATAGCAAATTGAATTTAGAGTACTCAGTACCGTGACAGCACAATTTCAAATATTTTCCTTCATTCAAACTTCAAAGTATTTCATGTCTCCAATTTCTTGACAATTTCAAATGTTTTACTTCATGATTCATTCCCGTGATATCAACCTTTGCTGGCTCACAAGCACTACAGCATTCGGAACACCTAATTTATAATACATGAATGTCTGTATTTCTGCATCATTTCCTGAAACCTGTCTCAAAAGTTACAAATCCCAGATAAAACTATTTACTCTGGTAGCATGAGAACACCAACATATAACAATGAATCGAAAGACGCCAAGTAATACAACAGCACGAGCATCAAATTATATCAGACCATTTTGTTCAGCATCCGTAAGTGTTGGGCAAAAAGCTAGGGTAGCGGAGAAGAGAATACTGAGGTGGATGAGAGGATACACAAAAGATTATGAATAAATGTATTTAGGAGTGACAGTAACACCTATTGAGGAGAATGCTGAATGTTCGCCTTATGTGGTTTGGTCATGTGTGAATAAGACTAATAAGAGGGCTTGATGATGAATCCGTGTAATCAATGCTACTATGATGGTTTTCACACTAAAAAGAGGCGTTGATGATTGATCCATGTTACCAACCCTACTATGATGGAAACTTATCAATGGTGTCAGGTCTCAGTTTCAAATTAAAGCTCAGAAGCAGATCATCTAAAAGAAAGGCCATTTTTCAATTCAGAGAAATCTCCTTAAAAACTAGATTCTACTAGTTTTGCTTGGTGTTCTTCATACAAATTTGGTGATGAATTCTGAATTCATATCAACTTAACCGACCAGTAAACTTGAGAACTACCTATGCATCATCAAGACATTAGAAAAGAGAATAACAACAACAACAAAGCAGGCATGAGACAGTGAGCTAATAGCTCACACGGCACTGGCGGTTCAATCCTTTTCCTGTCCCCTTTCCCTTCCCTACTTCCCAAGTCCACAAGTCCTCCCTTGAAACAAAAGAATCAAAAAAACAGAGCAACCATGAAAAAACAAAAAATACAAAATTAAACACTGACATAAATACCTCATCTGCGGGCAGATAATGCCCTATGCATTCCCGCAGCCATCAATTCAACCATCCTTACAACAAAGAAAAACAACACAACCAACCACGAATGAGCACATACAGATTTCTCAATACTCAAGTCACCACCTCCACACCTAGAAAATAATCACACTCACCTCACACGTAAAAACTCCACTGGTACAGTAAAACTCACACCAACACAAACCGAACCATTCTATTTCAAATTTCACCTAAGGCAATAACAATCATATAGCATATGAAAGGTAACAAAGAATTACTCCGATTTCTCCGGCACGTGCTCCGCGGAATCGTCCTCTGAGTTCTCCGCCATATCTTCATCCTCTTCGCGGTCGTCGTTGCGATTACGGTGGTTCACGTCGGTGACGCGGCGCTCGCGAACAATGTTCATGAAGTTTACAGATAAATCGGAGTAAATAGAGCGAACCTTGGAGATGTTACCGTGGATCTGAGCAATGAGGCCAACGTTCTTCACCATGTTGTCAGGAATCTTCGACTCGTGGTTGCTGTTCACTTCCTGGATCAGCGCGCGGTTCTCGTCCAGCACCGTCTGCGCCTGGCGGAAGCTCCGACTCAGCATGCTCCAAGCCTCGTCGTCGCATTCATCTTCGCCGTCGTCGTCGACGACGTCTTCGGTTCTCTCTCCGGCGAACTTCTCGCGGTTGTTGAGCCAATCAGGCTTCGTCATAACGGCGGTTTCGTCCATCGCCGCGGAATCTGAAATTCAAGTACGGTCGAACATGCCGTTGTTCACACGATGAGTCTCTGGATTCGAGTTATGAACTTTGTTGTGGCGGTTTCTTGCGGTAGTAGTGACGACTTGGACTTTGGAGGCAGCGCTGAATTTTTGGTTGGTGAGATTGGGCGGTGACGGACCAACGAGGGTCGAGTGTTTTGGCGTACTTGGGAAGTTGGCGAGTGGTGATTGGAGACTGTGAGCGAGTTGGGTGACAGATGAATAAATAAATATCTTCCCGCGTTGAAATTATTTTAAAGGAATAAAATAAGAAGAAAAATAAATATCTTGGAGCTGAGATGGACTCTTGGATAGGCGGCACGAGAAAGTGGAACGAGGGAAGTGCCAGCTGGACAACAACTATATGCTCTAACCGCTCAATTGTATTTTATTATAAATCAGAGAGAAAGAGACACTCGTCTATATATATTAAATGAAAATAAAATTATTTTCTTAAGAAAGAGAAAAAAAAAACTCTTAAGTGGTTTAGAAAAACAGCCGTAAATGAGAAAAAAAAATAGTAAATGAATTATAGGAAAAAATTGGAAAAGGTTTGTATAATATTATGGGAAAATTTGTCTAAAAGAAAAATAGACACCAAAAAGATATTTTTTTTATTATTAGAATATATTACTCCCATCCTTTATATTTGTTAAAAAAAATCACTTCATACTTCTTCAAGTATCTGTATTTTGAAAATTTCATATTAAAAGTATAAGATATTATTCATCGTTTTTTTATTAAACGTACCTCACTTTCATATATATTTTTTTTTAAACATAATCATGTTGTTTATAGATTATATAATGATAAAAAATGGTTGATAAGACATCAATTACTTGATCCACTTCATTAATCTAGACTTGAACCTTCAATCTCTGTAAAATAGTAAGATCTTTCAAATTAACATTATAATTAGGAAAGATGGTTAAAACTACACTTCTAGCATGTAGTATATTTAGGACAATTTTAATAACAACATTCTTATAGTGGGGGTAGCTAGAGTCTAAAAGAGATATTCAAGCCGAGACAGGTAGACCTCTTCTTCCATGAAGAAAAAGAATTGGTCTAATTACTCCATAATGAAGGTAAATATAGCCTTCATCTAAATAGTTTTCGATGAATCTCAATTTGACATATTGTTCATGAGTGATAGCAATCAAACAATATTGATCCATTATAGAAAATTGGACATATTCTTTAACATGATATCTTCAAGTAGAAATGAATCTTGAGATAAATTTAAGAATAAATTTTTATCTTCTAAAAATATTATAAAATTTAAGCAAAGAAGTAAACGTTTATCCTCATAAGCATGAATATTCGGTACGATTTTCAATTTTTGATGAAGTACATGAAAATATTTTTGGAAAGAGAAAGAGATGGGTTTAAAAGAATAGACTATGAAGGTTGTTGTTAAAGTTAGAGTCTTCCATATTTTATGAGAACCTCTCTTAATGACCTTCCATATATCATTCATATTGTAACTTTTGTCAGAGAATTGTTGTGGTTTAATTGTGAAAAAAAAACTATTTAGGAGCAAAATTTGTAAGATCATGAAACTTTTGAAGTAAAAATTTCTATTAAACCTAATTTAAAATATTTTACAGATTCATCATGAGATTAGAGATAGAAAATTAAGATTAACAAATGACTGAAAAATTAACAAACAACGTAAATAAGCTTAATAAAAACAAATAACTTTAATAAAAGCAAAAATATTATATTGTAAAAAAATTTAACATATGTGATACAATTTTTATCGATATTTAAAAGAAACAAAGGGACTACTTCAACCTCCTCCGTGAAAGGAAATACAAATATTAATATTTCTCTTATTAGGCTAATTATATGCTAATTGCACAAGAAATTTGAATAAAAACATAAATAAGTACTAATATTTTAGAGTGATGTTAAATATTTATTATATGTAATTAAAATTTAAAATAAATTATATAAATATTTAAATAATACATAATATTTAAATAAATTGATATTTTAAATATATAATTTATAGTTTAGATTTATAATAAAAATTTTATATTTTAATTTGTCACACAAGATTATGTTTATTTATTAATAATTTATTTTAAAATATTAAAATTTAATTCATAAATAATAATCAATTAAATATAAAGTTAAAAAAATCTCTAAATCTCTCATCGAAAAAAATTCTTAAAAATACCTCGTTAAAGAATTACTTATATTTATATATAATAAGTAATTGACATGAATGAACCTGAATTTGGTTTTCTTAATCTATGTCTTAAGATCAAATATTGTGAATAGAAAAAATGACTGGGACAGAAAATTCCATTAAACAAGATCAATCAGATTTTTTAACATTAGTCAATAATAAAACTAATGAACAATAACATAATTAAAAAAATAAGTGTAAAAATAGCTGCATTGTTACGCTATATCTTACTAATTGGCATGTAATATCAGGTACTTCGATTTTAAATCCAAAACGTAAATGAGATGTAGTGAACATAAATCCTCAGCCAAGGAAGACAAAAGTGGTTAGGAAAAAGGAAATAAATAAACAATTTGCGTTCTACATTTGGACAAATTTAACCTGTTGGGTCTGGAATACCTCTTTGAAGTATGCAGTTCAGTCAAACATAGATAGAATTAAGTTGTTCAAATTGCCCTGGTGAATGTCCAGAGGAGGGCTTTTCACTCGAGGTAGTTTCCCTTGCATGTCCACCATTCTATTGCCAGTAGCAGCAAGAATAAGGAGGGGTTTGTAGAGACTGAGCACTATGCAGAAACGTTCTCAAAATCATCCAAACTAAGTCAGATTCCTCAGTTGGCTGTACAATATGTTGGAATGCGAATATGCGATACATATTGTGCATTTCACTTCTCTGTAATTAAACAGTATCTTTTTTTTTTTTTTTCATTTTGTTCAGTCATAAATTTAATCTATCTTTCAACTCATCTAGGGATACAGATATTACCAAGAGTATATTTATATATCTAAATCATCATCTGGGTCCTCATCAGAGTCTGGCATCTCATCATCTGAATCACGAAAATATATAATCTCACCCATGGCAGAATCCTCCTTTTTAACACTTGAAATGGGATTTGCCTCACTGTTGCTCTCTTCAAGGGATCTTCTACCATCATAAATTTGTATTGGTTTACCATTTCCTTAATGAATAAAGAGCTTTAAGTACAAGAGTTTATACATAACTGAAACAATGTAAAAAAATGAAATACAAATCAATTTCATACCTTGGTGTTCAAAAGGAAGCACAACATTTGACCTGTCAATTCTCTCCTTCTCTGATAGCTGGAGATTGAATTGTACCTGTTAAACACACATCAAATTTCTTATTATTTTATTTGCACTCAACAAAAAGAAATCAACTTCATATCACAATGCATTTCTGGCTTGGTCTCTGATAGTTTCCAACAAGCGTTTTTGACCCTGTTCGTATGGGGGCAGAAATACTGTTATCAAAAGCATCTCCACGCATGTTCAGAGTAGGCGAACAAACTAAGTGCTTAGAATGTGTATGCATTTCTCAGCATATGAGATGTTTCCAATCCAAGACAGTTTGTGCCCATTGCAAATTAGATATAAAACACTTTGGTTCTATCATCAGTCTTGTGCATAGAAAATAGATCATGTAAATTTGTAATATAAGAATCTCAGCACTTGAACCCAAGTGAAGAACCTAATTGGCACACTGGGAATTAGTTAGAATTTAGACATTATGCTTGTGTCCCACCTTTCGGAGCATCTAAATAATAATAATTATTATTCCTAAAAAGGTCTTGTGAATGCCATATTATCCATTCAACCAAAACAGCAAGACCTTAGGGGGAGGAGGGAATTCAACAAAAGAAAGATCTCTCTGTAGATCCTTTTTTCTTTATAAAAAAAAAACTACTTAAAATATCTAATCACAAAAGGTTGTCGGTACTTTAGCTTTTGCTTCTAGTGACAAAAGACATAACTTCATAGGACCAGTTTTCCATCTACAAGTAACTATAGACTGACCTTTGGCAGTAGGCCTGCAATGGCTGTTCCGTCCCCTGATGAAACAGATGTGAAGCTGATTCCTCCAGGTTCAACTTTAAATTCTTCACACTGGATAAAAATGAAGAGATATTATATCAGTACACCAGATTTTTAGATTTGTCATACCAAATAAGCTTACAAACAGGAAGAAAGAGATCACCATTGCTCTAACTCGCCCATTTCTACGTTTGAACCTGACATTAAATTTTCCCTTGGTGAAGTTTTGCTCAGGTAAGGAATTCTCTAAATATCCTCTCTGACCATCTGCTGAATGATGATATGGGTCTACACTGCCCACCATGGAGGACATGTACTCAAGAACAGCTGCAGCCCTCTCCTCATGAAGGTCAGAATGCAATAATCCAAAAATACTTGAAACTTGATCTGCAAAAGTAAGTCAGTAACAAATATAAGGAAGAAATTCTTAATGCATCAAGCCGTTGTCAAAGAGTTGAGCAATGAAAATAGATGGCGAGTGTCTGATCGAATTGATCAGGTCATGTAGGAACAAGGTTCAAGTTTAACCCGTGCTATATAAAGTTTAGCTGCTGAAATAAGCAATTATCTCACTTGTTCTGATATTCATAAAATTTAATAACACCTAATTAGACAATACAATGAGAGGAACTTTACTCTAAACAGTTCAAGAGTGAATACCATACCATGGCTACGCAGATTGCTTACAAGGCTGGCCACTGACTGCAAAGATGCATGCCTCAACAGTTCACTTAGCTGATCATATCAAATAAGAATCCATTAGGGTTAGAGATACACAAACCAAGTATACAAGAGAAACTAAGAAACCATGCAGTCTTAAACAGAATATTACACACAGAATACTTCAGCAGGAAGTTTTTTTTTCTTGTTGTCATGTTACAGTTTCAAGTTGGAAGTTATTGTAAAGTTTTGCACAAGAATTTTAAGTGTAAAGGAAAATCTGAAACTTGCATACGCAAACAGGTTAGATACTGATTGCTTGGCAAAATAATTGTTCATAATAGCTTTATAACTGCTTAACGGTACATTTATTTCCAAGAAAATTTAAAAGGTTAAACAAGATAAATTGATGTATTCCATCTATGATTTTCCGATTTACCCCCAAGCCTCTAACCTAGAGGAAGCCAACTTAAGAATTTTCCAGTTTTGCCCTAAACCCCTTTCATGTGGCCATAGTTAACAAATTCCTTCTAGCTGAATAATATATAGAAGCAATACGAGTTTTAGAATGTATGCCCACAAAGTCCATGAAATACAACAAGATTCTATTATTCACATTGTTATACTAAACATAGGTAAGATGAATTTTATGGCCATATCAAGCAGAGTTGGGAAATCTCAAAAGACTAATGTTCCAAGGTTATTTGTATTGGCAGGGAAATCATAACAAAAATCCCTTCTCATAAGTTTCACAATCATAAGGTATTCAGCTATTGCTTATTACAATCAACATCTTAAGCACTAAGGCACAAAGAAAATTCATTCAAACACACCATCAAAATAAATTTAACTTTATTAAAAATTCATGGCAATGGTATTTGCTTTGTCTATATTTATCATTTTTTGACAATCACAGAATGAAAACGTACTGAGTCTATGGCAACACAGAAGCGAGCTTTATTTTCTCTAACCAATCCTGCAGGTATATGAATTGGAAAAATTACTCAAAAGAGAAATACTTTTTTAAAAAACATGTATCATGTGTGGTTGAAACCCATTAACTGGTGCAAAAATGTTTATTTAGTGAAAATGAAAGAGAGAATACTTTATAAGCTAACGTTAGATACAGAATAATCTATCTATAATACCTCTGCCCAGTTCAGTGATTACTGAAAATAACTTATCCACATCCTTCACGGTTTTATAAGAACTAGTAGCAAGCGAAATTTGGTGAGAAGGATCCGTAACATTTACAGATTTCCTTGTCTTATCTTTCCAACCAAGAGGATCTGTATAACAATCCAAAATGTGAATCCTGCAAAATAACATAATTCCGAATTCAACAAATCCAAATTTATATGATATTAAGACAAAACACCAAAAAAAAAACAGTTAAGCCACAAGAAATGCAATTAAAACAACAAAGAGACATTTTAAACAATTATGTTTAAAATATTTACCACTTGTTAGATGAAGCAATATCCACTCCATTCATATTTAACAAAGCAGTATAAGACGATGGACTCCGAGAAAGTGCAACAATTACTATAGCCCTATGCAAGAAAGATTTTTGAGATTAAAAATAAGAACTATGAGATAAAAGAATTGATAACAAATTATGGGGACAGTAAAACTGACTGTGACTGAGATTTCTGCGCCATGACGTGTGATGAGAGTTGAAGAAGAATGTGAGAGAATAGATGGAAACCGAAAGGCGAAGCGAGAGAGTCCTTGATTGTGAGAGTAGGCGCAAGCTCTCCCTCTAATGCTCCATCCCTCAGTGTTCTACAAATTGAATCCGCCATCTTCACAAAGTGGAAAAGAGAATGACAGCATGAGCAAAGTAACGGAGAAATTTCAAAGTAGTCGCTCAGAAACTATAATTCTCAACAGTATTGGTAACATGTTTTAAATTGAGAGAAACAAAATTTAATGAATGGAATTAGAAGTGAAGACTATGGGTGATGAGATTTGTGATAGATTAAAGTAAGGTCGAGAGCAGTTGGGAGGAGTACCTGTCAGCAGAGACGTCAGTGCAGACCTGAGAAAAATAGGGGCAGTTCACACGGCGGCGCAACCCCCTTAAACCACTTTGGAAAAAACAAAAACAAAAACAAAGGGTTAAATTAGGGATTGTGATTCTCTGCGGTCCTAAACAGCATGAATCTCTCTCATCCGTTAAATTGTTTTTTAATTATATTATAAATTAAAATTAATTAATTAATTTTATATTTAACGGTGAGATCTAGGACTGTGATTCTCAGTAATCCCAAGTTATACTGCATGAACAATACTCAAATTCACGATTTTGTATAAAACAATTTAGACTTGTTTATTCTAGGTAAAACCATTTGCATAGTCAAGAGAAGATATAACCTTAGAGTCCATATGCAACCTTGCATTTGCATATCAATAGTTGGAAAAACAAAAACAAGAATTAGCATTTGCTATTGTAGTTAAAGAACATTTATGCGAACCACTAGAACTCAGGAATCCAAGAAAAACTTTCTAAATGTGCGCTCTGACGCTCTCCCAAGTTGTGTTGAATAAAATTAGTGAAATATTCTGAACATATTAAAATTGTAACTATAATAATGAAGTATATTGTAACCATTTTGTAGGATGATGAATTAAACTATTATTATTTTTTATGAGTTATAGTATAGCTTAAAATCACGTTTTTAAAAAAAAAAAACAATTTTAATATAAAGAAAGGAAAAACTTGCGACTCGCAGTTAAATTCAACTAAACTGACTTTTAAATACACACTTAATAAGAGAATGATGTTCAACTAATGCAAATAGAGTAAAACTACGGAAAATAGAATTGATGATGCCGGAGTTAAAATTACAATGTTAAGATATTGTATAACAGCCATTTACGAGAATAATTTTGCTTGAAATACTGGTTATAAGAAACTGCCATTTGAAAATATCTTCTTGGTCATTCTAAGAAACAAAGATCCAGTTACTATTATTCACTATTATAAATGAAAATTCATTCATAGAAACAGCCATTCAAAATTTCATTTTCTTTTTATTCATTCTAAAACACAAGGATCCATTTACTATCATTTATTCATACTATAAATCATAGTTCAGACGCGGCTCATGCAGGATAATATATTTACTAGTCTCTGTAAAAGAAATATCCACCCTGCATTCATTCAACAAACGATCTTACTAGTATTATTTATAGAATGATATAATGAATCATAGGACTTTAGTTTGATTTTAAGGTCATACATACAGCATCCAATCAAGATGCTAAAATCCCAAAACAAGAGCCAGTCACTAAATGATAGTGTGAAGTTCGCAAAATGGAGCGATGTCCAATTACATTTGAACGGGCTTTACCAATGTATTGTGAGTTTGTTCTTTCTTTTAATCATTCAGGGAGCGAAACTCATCAGAAGAAAAGGCCACAAAAGTATATATAGCAAGGCATACAAACATAAATGGAATTTCTAGCTCTTATTTTTTTTTAAGAATAATTTATTAGTAATATAGCACAACTAGAACTACAGATTAGGCCGCACGTGTGACTTGGTGTACAAAAGGCACCATAAAATGATAAATTCCTGGAAGGGCACTGTAGAATTGCAGTGGGATTTGGAACTCCAACCATCCCATATTAGGGTTTAGCATCAACAATTGGAATTTTTTCCTCGTGCACAGAATTCACTAAAAGTCTTGTCTTCACATTACTTTGTTCCAACACTTTAGGAGAGCTTAGTAGATTCCGTCCAGATTCTTCAATCTGGCACATAATTATGGCTTTGGCGGTAACAAGAGAAACATAGAATTGGTCTTGTTCAGGTGGCTTCTGAGACTCCGGCCACTCATCTCTTCTTTCTAAGTCGGGAATATCCTGCACCTTCCTTTTGTGCATCTCATCCTTAACCATCTGAAAATTTTGTATTATATAAACAAAAATGAGGAATACATCATTACAACATATTTTTACATTGCTCAAAAGGTGAATATATAAACTAACACTCTCAAGTCTCCACTCTTTGTGATACAGCCACTGACACAGACAAACGGATTAGAGAACAAAACTACAGCACCAATTGAGTGAGATACAAGAAATCTGCTACAAACCTAATCTACATGGGGCACACACTTGTGATTGTTAATTTCATATTTATTGTTGCAGATTGCAAACACATTGTTTGATCTTGCTATATCTTTTTTCCGATCTTCATTCTATTATTCTTTGACATTCCCCATATTTGATCTGTATGTTTTTCTTTCTTAAGATGACCAAGGCCATAGTAATCACATAGCTGGCAAAATCACTCAATAATAACTAGTAGATAATATAACCTAAGTTTCCAACAACCTATAACAGTCTGCATGGTAGTAACATTGACATTTAACGACTATGAATTGATTCCCATGAAACAAACAACATTTTTAAATGGAACTTTCATAGATAAGCATAGCTAGCTTCCATGCAAGTCATGGGTAAAAAGTAGAAATTTCATTCCATTTTGACAGCAATCTAACAGTATCATTCTCCAACTAAGTGCTTATTTGGTTGGCACTGCCATGATATACATTCCAAAGTAAAATCTGTGGCTGAGATTAATTTGGGCAAAAACCTATTCTTTTAAGATATAAAATGGATACTAAATTATTCTTACATTAAAACAATTCCCTGTTCATTTCATTTCCATTCCCCTACAGAAAAAGAACATGTAGCATCCTTAATGTTTTCTCAGGGTTTAAATACAAATCTAAATATCTATTTTCTTCTATACATTGCAAGCTAGCAATTTGGAAGTATATAAAAAGCTCTGAATCTGATACAAGGTAAATCTCAACAAAAAACTCAAAAACTAGTCTATAACTTTCATCACTTCCAAAACACCCCCCTGTCAATTCCTTCCCAATTCACAAACCAACAAACAATCTTTCAAAACTACGCTCAATGTTCATTAAAAAAAAAAGCTGCCTAGTCCCTACCACTGAACACCCGGGGCCAAACTTCAAAATCACTAACATAACATTCACAGGTCACAAAAAACAACTCGATAACCCCTACCCCAAGGGTCTCACTACCCACCCCAAGGATTATATTTTTCATCGACCAATTATCATTCTGAATTAAATGAGACATTATTATATAGTCACGAGCCACCGCATGTTTTTAATCCTAATCAATCCCTAGGTTACATGTAGTCTAGTTTTTCAATTTACAATAAAGTGTTAATGACACTATTTGTTTAGACCTCAAGTTTGTGACATCGCATCAGAGATATTGTTTGCTACTTTGCTTTAGTCCTCAGTGAATCATCGCAATATTGTCCACCTACTTTAGTCCTCAGTGAATCATCGCAATTTTATCCACCTAAAAGGCACCTCCGAGTGGCATGGAGAGAAAGATATTTATAAACTACCATTGACTTCAGTTCCCAAAACATTTTGGCATACTAAAACATCACTCAATTACTTATTTTACAAGGAGATTAGTTGGAACCATAGTGATCTTGAACCATCTAAGAATTCATCAATAAAATTCCCCAATCCAATCCTTAAACCCAAAGAAAAATAAACCACCCCATAGAAGATCACCATCTAACATTGTAACCAAGTGATGTGATGTTAGAAACAAACCTGAAGCAAGCCGAAATCAAGCTTGGGCGGTCCCACTTGCGCCACAGCCAACGCCCCAAAGAAGTTCCCCAACAAAGCCGCATCCGGCACGGCCAAGCCCCTCACAATCCCAGCAGCGAACCCGCCAAGAAAACAGTCACCAGCGCCGGTGGGATCAACCTGCTCCGCCTCAAACGGCGCGACGCTGAACGCACCGTTTCCGCAGAACACCTCGGAGCCGTCCTTCCCGTGCGTGACGACGACGCAGCAGCACCTTCTAGCCTCCTCCACATCGACGAACCGAGCCTCGTCGGCGGAAGCCTTGAGGAAGGCGACCCGAGGGAGGAGGTGATGGAACCCGCTCTCCCTGAGCGCCACGTGTCGCACGCTCCCGTCGCGGGAGTCGAACCTGCGAATCAGGCCCTGGACGTCGACGAAGACGCGGTCGCAGATCTCGAGCATTTTGTGGAGAGTCTCCGGGAGGATCTCGCCGGCGACCCCGACGGCCATTCCGAAGGCGAAGGTGGGCCCGTCGGGGAGGTCGGAGGGCCGGATGGGGTGGCAGGCGCGGATGCGGTGGAGGGAGCGGTCGGGGTGGGGGGAACCGAAGTGGGCGTGGAAGAGGGTAGTTTGGGAAGAGGGGATTGTGATTGGCGGGTGGGTGGGGCTGTAGGCGAAGTCCGGGCCCACCTTGGAGACGGTGAGGAAGGGGAGGGAGAGGGCGTCCAGGATGACGGAGACGAAGGAGGCGGCGCCGCCCAGGGTTTGGGCCACGGGGAGGCCGTCGCGGTGGAGGACGTCATGGCAGTAGTTGCCGACGACGAGGCCGCGGGGTTTGGTGTCTGTGACCATGGGAGATGGAGAGGGAGAGGGTCATGGGAGGGGTTACGGAAGGGTTTTTATTAGGGTTGCGTCCATCGAAATGGAAGAGGACGCGCGCCACACGCAGAGTTTGGTGGCATGTTATAGAGCCTCCGGAGCCGACACCCAGCATCCAACAATTCTCATTTTCTTTCTCTCTCTTTTAAAGATTTGAATGCCACCTCACTTTTCTTTTTGGATAATCTATTATTCTTTATGTACACAATACAAACTAGTATTCCTTTCTATTTCTCTCACCCCCCATGTTCAGGGGATAATTTTGGCTTTGTGTTTTAAATACAAGAAATAATAATATTATGTAAAATAAAATTAACTCTTGAAAGAGGTGGTGAAAGTCAAGACCCTGCTAAAAGTTATCTTTACTAAGTCATGCAAGTTCAAGATGATTGACAGAGAATTCCACAAGGCAAAAATGTGTGGTTTCATAAAGGAGTCAAACACCTTATAAAGGATCATGAGTAGATTTTGCGAGGCTTAATGGACTCAAACTTAGTCTAGATGAATTAAACACAAAATGAAGAAAAATTTGCTAATGACCCAATAAAAAAAAAGGTAGTATATGGCATTTCCAAAGTCGTTAGTAATTCATTTCATTATAAATTTGTCTTTGCCAACACCTCAGGCTCCCAAGCCTATTATTGTTTAAATTTCCAACTCCCTTCCTGTTTACGGTGAAAAAACGTTTAAGGGTTCTTTTTACTCGAACTAGCACGTAAATGGTTTCAATTTAGGATTTTTGATTTAAGAACAGGAAAAGGAGTGAACAACTTTAGTAATTACTTGTTTCTAAAGATTCTTCCATAATTAACAAGCAATAATTTTCATACATATAAATGCTAAGATGAACAAAATGAATAATTGAGATACTTGCAATACAAATCATGGTTCAACTTACATAATATTCCAGAGTTACAATATCAAAGTAATATAACTACGTGATTAAAAGAAATAACTAAGAAAACTATGCTAATTCTACTCCTAAAAAGCAAAAGAAAAGTGGCCGAGAGTCAGTCATACCCAAAAACGATCTTGTGCACGAAAGCCATATGTGTGTGTAGGCAGAGAGTGCTTCAGAAGTTAATTCAAGTATGAGTTTTTTCGACCTCCGTGAAGGTACGTAGCTTCTGTATTTATAGAGCCAATCAAGAACGGTTAATTTCATGCATGTACGCCACTAGGGGATAACCGCTATCCACTATGCTTGTTGCGTGACTCTAAATTGTAACTTCCCATAACCGTTCGCCTCACGCTTCAACTTTACTCGATTCGACCCTTAATAACCACCTTAGTGTGCCTTAACTGTTAAGATCCCTTCAATAACACCTCTACAATTTCGAGTTACTATTACATTCTCGAGTTGCTATCGAGACCGCGTTATAGCTTAACCCCTTAATGAACAACAGATAAATTTTCGAGCACTCCTTTGTTCAATTTAATTAATTCTATTCGAACACATTCCCATGTGAACAAATAAGGCTCTCAATTTAATCTTGGTAGGTGTTTAACCTTTATCTTTTGTTTCGAGTAATTTTCACACCCTTTTCGAGTCACATGATTTTCGGGTAAGCCTAACAAATGCCCCCTTAGGAATTTGGTTTCGATGAGCATCTTGGGAGAACTAAATTCCTATCAAGGTTGTTCTTCGATACTTCCTCGATTTGTTTCTTGATGTTAACTTTTCTTGATGTTAACTAATCATTCTTTCGATGAAAACCTATTCTTGTCATCACTTAAGGTACTGACCATTTGGATGTGATATTGATGGTTCTGACGGCGCATACTTCTGTTTTTCCATAAATTTGTCTTTAATTTTAATAATATTATTAAATTTTATTTTATTTTTACAATTTAATGATATTTGCTAACACTTATTTATTTATTTATTTGAATGAAATAAAATAATATATTTTTATCTTTCTTGTTTAATATGTAACATTTTTTCTTTATTATGTCTTAATAGATTAACTCGATAGTTTAATAACCAAAATTTTAGAAAAAAAGTGATTTGAAAAAAAATTGTATCAATTTTGTTGAACTTAACGGATCAATTGAGCTATGTTGAACTACTTATTTTTAGGCTTAAAATTCACTGAGTTTGTTTGACTTAATTTTATATTTTTTTCCTTTGAAAAATTTAAATAAAATGGAAAATAAAGTAAAGTTGACAAATGTGTCCTATTTTGATAGATCAATGAGTCAAAATTGTTCAATTCAAAATATCATAACAGTTTAGTGCAGTTTAAATTGCAGTTCAGTTCAAGTTTTTATAGTATAGTTCAGTTCAGTTCAATGACACAAAAGAATAGTTCAGTTCAGTTCGTCTGAACTAATATTTAGTTTAGTTCAGTTCATATGAACTACTTTTAAGTTCAGTATAGTTTTTATAAGTTCAGTTCAGTTCAGTTCGTTTTGCCCACCCCTACCCATATATTTATTTCTCTCCCCTTTTTTATCTCATTATTTCTTAATCTTGTTAATTTTAATAATATTATTAAATTTTATTTTATTTTTACAATTTAATGATATTTGCTAACACTTATTTATTTATTTATTTGAATGAAATAAAATAATATATTTTTATCTTTCTTGTTTAATATGTAACATTTTTTCTTTATTTATTTCTTTTGTTAAATTTTATATTTAAATAATTTTAATGATACATTTTTAATGTTTTAAAATAGTTTAATATCATATTTATAATAAATTTTATGTAAATAAATATATCTAATGAGATTATTTTAATAAAGAATATTCTTTTAAAAATATTTATATTCCAAAAAATATATTATTATAATAAAATATGAAAATCTTTAATTTTTGAAGATCTTGTATCAATATTTTCAAAAAAAATATGAATAATTAAAAAAATTGTAATTATTTTAAAAAATAATAATTTTCAAGATTTGTGAAATCCAAAAATCATGATTCCTACCAAACGCCTCCTTACAGTATAACGTGGATTGATTATTTTAAATGAATTCGGATTTTTTTTCTGTTGCTGTTGTTAACATTGGCTATTGACTTTACATATTAAAAAGTTATTCTTACACCACAAATGTTATGCGTCCGTCTCTTATGAAATTATATAGTTTAGTTCATAATATAGCGTCTATAAGGTAAGCTTTATTACTGAATATTTAAGATGGATTTATCGAAGTATTTTTTTCTTTGGTAAAAAATACAAGTATTCATTTTATTGGAGTTAATCTTATTCAAATAGACTAAAATTATTATAATTTTTTTTAAGTATTTAACATAATAGTTATACTTTCAAATCTTAAACTTAAAATTATTAATTAAATTAAAGCAATATTTATTAATTAGTTAACCGATTCAAGTATGGTTACTCTTTGAAAATTTCTAAAAAATAAAAGTTCTTACGGCTTAAAAAACTATGGATTAAATATACTTTTGCATGGTATTTGATAAGAGAAGACTGAAAGAAAAATAATTTTTGTATTTTTTTTTTCAATTTCTAAGAGAAAAGATATGGAGAATGGGAAGAAGCAAAACTCCTCTTCCATCGAGAGATTTGAAGAAGAGGATAAAAATTTTAAACATTTTTAGTATAATATCTAAAATATTTTTACTTATATTTTAAAGTTTAAAATTATTAAGACAAAAGTCAATTAATTTTTAAATTATATTTCTTCCTCCTATAAAACAAATAAAAAATATTATTTCTCATCCTCTCCTTTTCAACTAAATTAAATTTTTAACTTTTTTCCTCTCCTCTTTTCCTTTCATTTGAATCAAACAAGATCTTTGATCTATATAATTTTTACCTCGAGCGCAAGGAGATTCCCGTAAAAAATCGAGTTACCTATGCGCGATGTTCCGTGTATGATTTTCCTCGAGGCAAATGGTGGCCACTATGTTGGGTCAATAACGTTAACCCTCCTCCTGGTAAACAACTTTAGCCAAACCCTTAACTAAAAATTCAATTTTGTACTTGTCTCATTTTTTCCCTCGAATTTCGCAGATGTCATTCCTCAACGTGTTCCACAACATGTTGAGCCAACTCCTAACTGGGAAAGTGATGATGATGCCCAAAAACCATCATTGAAGGGTCGGAAAAGAAAGACTGCTTCTGAAAAAGCCACTCTTTGTTCTAAGGTACATTTTTTTACTCACCATCTCTTTGAGCCTTTTCGATTAATTCTCTTCATTCATTTTATCTTTTCCCACTTTTCGTATTTCAGAATATCGAAATTTCTAAGAAACAAAAAGTGGATTCAAGCAGTAGTACCAAGACAGTAAGAGAGCTCTTTTACCTTAAATTTTCTTATCCCTTTAAATCCTACTCATTTTGTTTCCTTACTTTCAGGTTTCGACCACAAAGAAGCAGGATAAAGGAAAGGGAAAGTTGGTAGTTTCTCTTACTAAAAAAACTTAGAAACCTCCTACTGGGAAACTTCTTCAAGATGCTATGAAATCAGTACCCAAGGTATTCAGACCAATAATTTGTTTCCGACTGGATTTTTGTTAAATCTTTCTAACACTGTTTACTCATCAGGGTATTGATATCATTGATGTTGATTCTTCTCGAGACATCTCGAGAGATATTCCTCTTGTCACTGAGGCGTCCCAACAAGTTTACTCATGTTCTTTCCTATTTCATCGTCTGGCTCGAGATTTGTTCAATAACACCAAATGTTTATGATCTTCTCTTTTGTTTATAGTTGGTCACGTCTCAGTTGAATGTTACCGAGATGGCTTCGATAATGGCCTCCATCCAAATTCCTCCTCAAATCGAAGAGGATAAGGTTCCCCAGTCGGAACCTTTAGTCAACGCAGAGACCTTGCACGACTCTGTTCAAGGTGATCCCTCTTTCGAGCTACAACCTCCCTTGAGTCCGAACAAGGGTATATTTCTTTCAACTTTACAACTTTATCATGATTTTTAATGAAACCTTCTAATGTATTTTCTTTTTGTACAGGTTCGACTGAATCGCCTCGACCCTTCACAACTTCCCCTTCGACTCAAGGCGGGGTCACTTCTTCTGTCCAAGGTCTTTCGTCAATTCCTTCTCCGGACCTGGACTTGATGAGCTTTTTCGATGACGAAGATGAAGATATCAATAGTATCTTCGAGGTCTTGGATAATTGGACAAGTGGTCCTTCTGGGTCGGAGAAGGAGAAAGAGAAAACCGTCGAGCACG